TTTTCCCATTAAAATATGGCTAAAATGCTGAGTTTTATTAGCTATGGAATTAAAAGCATTTTCTAAACCATTATGTTTATGAAACGGAATTTCAATTTCCCAGACAAGCCTTAGGAAGGCGATTTCTAGCCCTTTGTTTCATGAAATAGTTTGTTTGAAGAGACCAGCTCCAGTCTTTTTGACCCTCTACTGATACAGAGGATGTTTCAAGTGGCTTTGTCTTTGTTGGACAATGCAGCCAATATGAATTCCAGCACATTCACTCCAGAGAGGAGCTTGCATCTCTCAGATGACAGAGTGACATTGTGACATTGCTGTCGTGTTACATCAGGTTCAATAAGAACTCACAGCCTAGTCTTTCATTGTGGCTTCAATCCTCTGGATTGCAAATGAAAATGAAGTTTTGGATACACAAATGCTCTGTAATGCTGATAAGAAATGCTGTGCCCAGAATGCAGACTAACACACAGCACTGTTGTGCATTGTGCCTGGTGAGGGAGATAGTTATTCAACAGTCTGTTGGGTAACAATAAATGATTTGTAAACATTGCCCTCAATAAAACGGGGACTCCTTTGTCCTAAAGATGTGATACAAGGAATTGAAAGCAAAGCTCAAGGAGTTTTCTGACAACAATGTGACTCCCAGGAGCCTTCAGGCAGAGTCACGTAGTCTGTGGGTCCAGCAAGGGGAAATGTGCAAAGCCAACAGGAATAATACATCAAATATTCCCTTGTTTGTATCTCTTCCAGAAACTATATGATGGATGGATGTCTAAATTAACATCTCTTCACTCTTCATCTTCTGCCTGGTGTTAGGAAGTCATTTTGAGAGTGAGGCTGACTAGAATAGTAGCAAAATTTGCCTTAGCTGTTGTTCTCAAACCAGTGGCTCCCACAATGGCAGATTGATGGCTTCTGTATTTCACAGACTGTTTCCAATCTACTGCAGTGACCACACATCAAAAAGGTGGAAGATAGAAATAGGTTTCTGATGGCACTACTGTCACATTGCTGGAAATGCAGAATAAGGAGAACTGGAACAAGCTACTTCCAAAGCTTCTGTATTTCACTGGATACAGCTAACAATGTAGTTTTATTAGGCAGCAGGCTGAAGAAGGGTATCTTTACTCTGCAAGCTCTGTCTCCTCTTGAAGCAGCCACGTCAGGATCCCTGCTGTTTTAAATGGGTGATACACTGATACCTTTGCCAGGCTGAGGATGTTTGATGACAGGACAGACTATGAAGATTTTGTACCTCAGAAGGCTCTTAGAAGTGAAACATCAGCCTGCTGTGAGCATGGCTGTGCTGGGAGGCTGCTCTCTGAGGGTACCGTGAAGGAACTGAGAATTTTCCTCTGTAGTTGTCTCCAAACTGCAGGTACAAGTGGACTCACCAGTCACCCAAAGCCTCTCACAGATCAGATGTGGTTTTGCTCAGCCTATAACAGCAAAACTATGAAGATCAGGAATGTGCTTCTGCTCCAGCTGTGAGTCACAATAAGAATTCCCTTGAACTTGAGAGCAAAAATGCATTTGGACACTTCTTTACTTGCTCCTGCTTCTCTCTGCAGCACTAAGAATTGCAAAAGTCACTTCTTACAGGTGGTTGAAGAGTAAGAGGTTGGTGTGTCAGACAAAGGCAACCTGAGTCCTCCTGTTGGAGCTTGTTTTCATTCCAGTGGGTAATGCTGTAATGAGATCTAGTCCCATAAGAGTTGTATTCCATGCTGTGGCTGAATGTTGCTCACATTTTTTAAGTGCATTAATTACACTTGGAAGCTTACAGACATCCATGCCTCTAACTGAGGCAAACAAGAGAGCATTTTCCTGCTCCCACAGCAGGACTGGAATGGGTTACCTGTTGCTTGTGGCAATTTTGAACACATTCTGAACATCAACATTTCAACCCTGCAGATTCACACAGTACATTTTCCCAGATAAAAGCTGGATAAGCATGTTTTGGCTAAAGGAGGAAGGCTGTTCTGTTTTAATGGTATCAGACAAGGCTCTTGGAACTGCTGCTGTTTATCAATAATGCAGTCACATTAGGGCTTGGGTTTTGTAACATCCCACACGGTTTATTTAATTTTATTTAATATTGGCAATTTTTTCTTCTTCTGAAAAAAATGATAATACACAGGTGTACAAACCCACATTCATGTGTTGTTTTATTGGTGTGTTACAACATTACATTTCCTTCACATTGAGAAAGCATGAGATTAAAATACATTGAACCACAACAATGCCTTCCTTACACTGACTCTTCTGGTAATTACAGCACCTACTGCTCCCTCCACAAGTTTCATTTTATTAAGCCTTTCAAAATTTTAATTACATTTTAATCAGAGCTTTTACATTGTCTATTTATGATTTTCAATGTAATTATTCCCATTAAAATAGTATTCTTTACTGCTTTGCAAAGTTCACCAATTACTGTTGCAATGGAAGTCTTTATGCTGCTTTACACTCCATATTCCACTCTTTTAACAGCCACTGCTCCTATTTGAGGGCTGCATAATCTTTCCCCATCCCAAAGAAGACAGCTGGTTTGTATCAAAAGCCATTAAAATACTGGGAATGTGTACAGCACAGTTAGGAGGCCCCACTCATTTTTGAGAATAAGCCAGGTCTCTATAAAAACATGCAAAACACTCTATGCATCAGTATTAAACTTCTAATTTTGATTGAACTTGTTTGTTTTTTTTTTTAACATTTGCATATAATCTGGAAGACATGGGTTCCTTCTGAAAGAAAAAGCTGATGGCTGAGACCTATACAATGTAAAGACACAATACCCTTACTCTAGGGCTGTCATTAAGCCTCCCATATGAAGTAATAGAAAATGCTATCCCTGTTAGAGAATTCTGTAGGATGGTTTAAAAACATTCTATAAAGATTCAACCTCCACTGAACTGTGTGGATTACTAGAATAAGACCTCGATTACACCAGAGGAGTGTTCTGTCCAATCCAGTGCAGATGCAATGCTGGAATAATTTTGCTTTGATGATGCTAGTTTTGTGAACTAGTAGATAAGCACCAGCAAAGTCAGTTGCATCTGGGTAACTGTCTCAATTCTAAAGCTCACTGTAACTGTCAGTAAAAAATCCTGTCTCTAACTGACCCAGTCAAACTGGGATCAGTTTTATAAATAAATCAGGCCTAATTTCCACAGAACTCTCCTGAGTTCATGCCTATAACATTCTGTTCCTTAATGCCATTTCCTATTTATAGTTACTTCCAAATATCATATAAGTTCATACATTTTATCATTTCATCCTCAGCCTTTCTTTCTTAAAGGGATTCTAATTTACTTCCTTTCTATAAAAATTCAAGTGCTGCCAATCAGGAAGTAGCTCTTCTCAAAAAAAACCAACCTACTAATCTTACCTTTGAGAAAAGGAAATGACTTACATAAAGCTTTACATAAAGACATTGAGCTGTTTGAATCACAAAATGCCTACAAGGCCAATACATATTCCAACAGGAACACATAAATCAGAGTTATGGCAGCAGCCTCAGCCAGTCTAAAGCACCATAAGAATGGTCGTTGATCGATGCTACTTAGAGCGCTTCGACCAGCAGCTCCAGCTAAGGAATGTTCAACTGCCAAAGTTTGGTCTGGAACATTTTGCCTGCATTTCCACAGGATTATATAAGAACCTGGAATCTTGACGTTCTGCCATCCAAAGGTACAGAATTTCCCAGGAAAAGGATGTGTACTGCATAGGGCATCCATAACAAAAGAGGATTCTACCAATAATAACGAAGCCGTACACTCAGTGATCTTCTCCATACCAACAAATGCTTTGATTCAGGTGAGTTTCAATTCAGGTCCCAAGTCAACTTTTGCAAACACCACGCTCAGGAAGATGATGAGCTGAAAATGTGGAATGGGTTGAGTGGAAAACTGTCTCTAGCATTCCTCTGGGAATGTTACAGTGCTGGAGACCCCCACAAGCGTTCGTGGTTGTGCGTTCAAAGTCACAAATGAAAATCTCTGTATTTCTTCAGATCACCAATGCTGCAGTGAGTCACTTCACAAGAATGAACATGGCACACCAAGATTCACAGAAAAATTGTGTTTCTTTATCCTCACAGTTTTAGGATTATTATTTTTTTTTATTTGTTTTAAAGACTTCAGCTTGTTGAACATCATGGGTGTTCTTTATTTTTGTTGTGACAGTAATTAATGCAAGAGCTCTCAAAAAACTGTTGATGATGTCACACTAAGTTTCTAATCCAACCTATGAACGTCCATGTTATTGCAAGATGCTAATTTTAAAAGTGTGAAATGTCTTGAACATCAGTATCATCCTGTGGAACTACTAATGCAACAAGGCTTGGCTCTTACAGACACTGAACCGTTCATACCTTTTGGGTGCTTGATCACTAGTAGCTCAGAATGACCTTGTCAGAACTTGACAATTAATAAAAATTTCTACCAGCAAATGGAGATTTTTTATTTTTTTTTAATGTTAGAAGGCAACAAGATAAACATAAGAATGATGCCCTAAACTGATCAAATTATATAAAGAAATGGCTGGCCAGAACAGATGCTGAACACCTGATGAAAACTGCTGTGTGTACTCATCACCCATCAAAATCAATGAGTGCTGAAGACAACCAGAACTTTCTAGGAGATACTCAGAACTTTAGAAAATCTGTTTCCAGATCTACTATATCCTCAACTGCATCTTCTCAAAATTAATCTCTTAACCATTCTCACATGGGACTATTTTCATTCATGTTCTTTCCACTTCCCTCAAGTCGTCTATCTGTTTGCAGTCGACTGAAAACAGATAATTCAGCAAGTCAATGTGAATTGAAAATTTGACTTTGAAAGTATGATGGTATTATGGCATTAAAAATAAAGTCTTTCTCTTTATAAAAAGGAAAGAAACAGAAGAAAAAAACATGTACAGTAAGAAACACTGTGTTAAGAAACCAGTTTGGAGGAAACGTGAGAAGGCTAAAAGTTCATTCTGCACATTTCTTAAAGTCATACAGGACCTTCAGTTATTCCCTCTAGAGGCAGCCCAGTAGCATTATCTGCTGTAGGTCTCTCTTCTTTCTTCACAGAGTTCTGATCTAGCAGGCTGACATAAGATTTATGACAAGCTGTGTTACCCAAAGGAGGGTAGTGTTGTCTGTAGCAAATATAAGCAAAAATGAGGCCAATGATCCCTCCGACGAAGGCATCTGGATAAGAAAAGCAAACAAACCAGAAGGATGTTACCATGGGAAGGACAGTCAGTAGTGACAACTGTAAATAAAAGACATTTGGTTGACCTGGAGGTGTTTAACCCAGAAAATGTGAAACTCAATTTTCATAAAGAATTTGGAGCCAAATATCACAACCACAAACTAGTATTTTCTTGGGGACATCTCCAACACTTTGAATACCCCAGATGTAGATGGCTGGCTTTGCTTCAGGAGACAAACAAGGGGACTAGATTGGTCTCCATGGAGCCTTAAACATTCATCATGTTCCAGCTTACCCTTGACCAACACCTGTGAGCAGGCAACTCTTGTATCTTCTTCCAGTTTCCCATGATTTACAATGACCACTACCAGGTTTCCCATTTGTGAACAGTGCAGCTGAACTAGGCTGATTAGAGCACCCAGAGCTCTCCCACTGACAGGTACACCTGCCAGCAGTCTGCTCCTTGTCTCTGCCCAAGCACCCCCAGGAAAGGCAGCAGCTAAAGTGCCAGATCTTCCCTTGACTGTTCTTTATTCCAGGAGGCATCCTCCAGTTTGAACAGGGAGCATGTTGGATATAAGGCAGAAAATCATCTTTCTTCAGGAGGTGGCCCCTGTAGCTATAACAATTCATTTCAATTCACAGCTCCTGAAAGGCCCCTGGGAAAGACAGCTGTCAAGAGCAATTTCAAGCTGGGTGAATTCTTCCTAAAAGCACCTGAAAGGCCAAAGACTAAGCATGCTTGTTAACTGTTTTTTTAACATCTTTCTTTGATGCTATTCACTAACCCATACACTTACTGGAAAATAAAATATGTATGTTTGCAGCTCTCACACAAAGGCAATTTTAAGTCTCCCATGGGAACCACAAAGCACCTGAAGGGTAAGAGGATTCATTCTGTTGTCAAGTTCTCCCTGCCTCTCGCTAATGTGCTCACCTGGTCTTGTATTTCATCTTCAAACAATCAGAGCCAAACTCCACTTAAGGTACACACTGACTGAAAGCCTCAGATCTGAACACAATAAGGAAAGGGAAGCAAAAGGCTCTGGCTAGAATAAGACTTGACACCACATTTCATTTTAACAAGGCTTATTAAGCACCACCCTATCATCTGTGCAGACCTGTATTTTACTTTGAGCTAGAATGAAACCACAGGGTAATAAAAACTGTCAACTGTTGAGTTTAATGACAAAGAAGGGTTAATCAATCCAAATTATTTTTGTCTAAAATAAACACAGCTTATTTGCCCTAGCTTGTCAGCCTAGTATGTGATGAAACAAAGGCCTTGTGGTTACTGTTCAGTGGATAATAAATGTCTTGTAATCATCAAATGAGTGAGATTCTGAAAAGCCTTTTAACAGGAAGTAATTATGGCAAGAAAATCTGAAAAATCTAAGATGGAAATGGATAATCATAAGAAATATTATTAGAAGTCACAGCTGTCTGTTGAGAAAGATGATGAGACAATGACTTAGGAGATCCTTTCTTCTCCTATCTTACACACAAAAGGACAAAACAAAATGATCTCAAACAAATGCAATAGAGACTCTAGTACAATTGTAAAAGCTAACTGTGTGCACTCAATATTTGCAAGCAGATGGAAGTTTCTCCTACCCATACTGGAAACTGACTGATTTTGTACCATTTGGACTGTCCCTGTCAAGCTTTCATGGTACAAAAGGCCCCAAGGACAAGAATTTTCACTATAATGTATCATTACAGCATAAAACAAGTTCTAAAAAATGTAGTTTCTGTGACAAGATTAATTTTCTGTGTTGGTGGCAATTCTTAGATCACCCTCCTTTAGCCATGGTTGGCTGAATGCTGTTCCAGCTGCTTTTTAATTTTAACAATGAGGTCAAGCCTATCACTTCTACCTTTTAATTACAGGGAAAGACAAGATTTCTGCCAGACCTCTATGAATTCCCCAGTATTTCAAGAATTGCTGAAAACTTACCTAGACTATTTTTCAAATTAAGCAACTCTGTGTCTCAGTTTGGGCACCACACTATGACAAACTTACTACCTGATTTGTGCCAAAGATTTCTAGCTTACTAACCCTGACTGGAGGTACTGAGCAAGCACACAGGCACCTATTTTGACTCCTGGTTTTGGAAACAGCAATTCTGTGTTTTGTTTGAGCTTATGGTAGTCACAGGGTTATTTTCTCTCATGGTAGTCACTTTTTTTTTCTTGGCCCATTAAGAGACTATTCTTCTGTCTCAGTACTTATCTTTACTTTTTTCCATACAAAATTTCCACTTATTTAATGAGTAAATTAACATTTTTTTAGTTATACAGAGATCTAGGGAATTAAAAGCAGTCGATACATTCAGGATTCATAATAAAATATCTTAATATTCACCAATACCAACACTAAGATCTTGAATTCTCCAGCCAAACTGAAGGGAGCTCACACAGTACTCATAAATATAATGTCCTGAGCCCTCTCAATGCCTTTTTAATGTAAGGATACACCCTCCCTCTTCCACCTACAGTATGTGGAGGCTTGGACATTATATTGATGGCCCTTGTTCATTCCCCACAGCATAGTTAAGACTCTCTCACCAACCCATCGTAAGTAATTTGACACAATCAGTTGAATCTGCTGAACATAAAAGATGAGGCCTGAGCTGCTGTGCTGCATATTAGAGGGAACTAGTCTCTTCCTTGGGAATACAAATCTTTCAGGTAAAAGCACTGGTCACCTGCAGGATCATGTTTGCCAGCACTTAGCTTGGAAAGAGCTAAGTTTTCAGCTCCATCTCCTTAAACCTCAAAGACGTAATTAGGAGTGGCTTCAATGGACACAGTTACAACCCCTTGGGTGCAGTTTTCTTTTATCAGGTATAAAATACATCACCATTTTCTGCCTCATAGCACACGTTTCAGTACATAAATAATTATTCCTCTTAGCAAGAGACAGTGCAAACTGCAAACATGTTCAAAACTAGAGAGTAAACCTGTGCACTCCCATTCACACTCTCACTTTAGCAGAGAGTTCCAACCAGCCCAGTGTCACACATGGAGCAGGAGACTGGGAACTGCTGCCTGTCCCCCCTGCCGGCCTGGCTAAGCACAGCACACCTTCCTGCTGGAGACTTTCTCCAGCTGGTGACCAAAGAGGAGCAACGAGCCCTGTAACAAGACAAGGCAACTGCAGGAAACCAGGAGACTCCTTGAAGAACATGTCAAGACCAATGGCTGGTGATTCGGCAGCTATGGGAGAGGAGGATGCTGAAGAGACACAAAAAACACAGCAAGAAAAAGCATGGATGAGTTCTGCTCTGGTTTGCTGACTGCTGTGTGAGATAGGGAAGTGCTCAGTGGGACAGAGATATGCTCTGCTGAACTGACACTATGTGGAGGACCCAAGAGAATGACATGTCTCAGAAGATATTCCTTTAGGGGACTATAATCTGCAAGGGCAGCAGTTCTGCACCAGCAGCACCACATAAAGCCTAGATGACTCACATAACAGTATCAGAATACCAAGTCTAGTATTTCTGAAAGGAATATGGGGATAAACAGGGGAAAAGTAATTACAGGCTGGTGTACTTTGGGGGAGGTGTGTGAGAAGACAGGCAGGTACAGAGGTGATGAAAAACAGAGTCATGGGAATAATAGATAGGAGGATATTCTGACAGAGAAAGTGTAGATGTTGACAGACAGTAGTAACAATAACCCATGGACATGGGAGGAAAGACATGTGGACAACCTGCTGGACTCTCCAGCAGGTCCATGTCTGAAGGACCCAGAGTGGGAGGGTAAGTTGTAATATAATTCTGACTTAACAGAATGAAGTACTAAAATTGTAACTTAGTAATATGTTTGTAATGAATAAATAGGATAAACTTCTATGTCAGTCATATCTCATACTGGAATTTTAACAGGCTCTGATACAGCCTCCCCATGACAGATGCAGCTGGGCTGGGTGGTGCTGCTCTCCAGAAGCACCTACTGTGAGGCAAGAGAGGCTGCTGTGGCACAGCCCTGGAGCTATGAAGGTCAGTGCTAGTTACTTCAGCCTCATCGAGTAAAATAAAGAAGAAAAGAAGGTGTCTCCATGGCTTACCTTGCCAGTGATGTTTGTAGTCACACATCCGTGAGAGGGCAATCATCATGGCACAGTAGAGGGGCAGAATTGCTGCACAAAGCCTCCAGCTCTTCCCCCGGCCAACTTCGGTGAAGCAGTGCAACTTCCCAGCCAGGTAGAAGGTGGTAAAGCCAAGGCCTGAAAATGCAACTGGTACAGAAAAGCACATCATTGCAGCACTTTGTCATGAGCGCCGGAGGGTGTTATCCCTGAAGATCTGACAGCAGGGTCCTTCTGCTGCAGAGAAGCCTTGGACTTTCTAGGGCGTTATTAAGAGCTAACAGAGGCAAAAAAATGGAAGTGTTTCATAATTTGAATGGTGATTCCTATATAACCATATAAATGATGCTGTTACAACTTAGTATTTTAAAATTATTAGTAGCATTTTAAATTAAATTAATATTTTAAAGGGATGCAGCAAATTGCCTAGGTGGAGAGGCTTTCCTTCTTCTCTTTCTTTTTAAAATAAAGCAATCATGATCTTGCAAACTTTAAAAAACCCCAGTGCTCTCAGTGCTTTGAGAACTGAAGGGGAAAAGGCAGCTTCCCACAAGTTCCATATGTAATCTCCCCAGCAGGGGTGTTATCTCTGAAGCAATACGAGCAATCAGGCAAGTCAACACTGCAAAGCAAATCCACTTCCTTCTCATAGATACTCAGACTCCACATAATCTAACACATCTGCAAATACTGTTGTACCTCTAGTCATTCACATTGCCAATAGCAATTGGATTTTTTTTCCTTTAGTAATTTACCTTTTTCCTCTGGGTGTGACATCAGCTGTGGAAAGAATCCCTGGTTTTGTTTGCAAACTAAATTAAGCATTCGAGTAATATTTTTTTAACTTGAACCACAAAAGCTCTTTCATGCTTCACCCTCAGCACGACTTCCATGATTTTAGACCTACTCTAAAAAGTTAAGGTTCAAAGCAAATTATATTTAAATGAGATCTTTAGGTTCTAGTAACCTTTTTCTATAGAACATGCTCAACTAGCAGTGATAACAGGACTCAGGCACCAAGTTTCTGTACTGAACTTCTTTCCTCTTGTAGCTTTTAAGCTTCCAGAGATGCTGGATGGATTAAATTTTTTTTAAAATATGCATCTTAATATTTTTTAAAAGAACATTTTTTTTTTCTTTAGGAAAATTAATGCTGTGGCTGAACAGGTAGCTCTGTGAAACACATCATCTGCTTTCTCCACAAATGTCATACTTCATTTTGCTCCTGACTACATGGATCAAAATAGAATATAACCATGTAAAACAGAAAAAAAAAAATTGAAAATATTAAAAAAACCTAAAATCCTTTTCCTGACTACCTTTATATTTTATCTTTGTGATATCTAAGCACCTCTATAAGAGGTAACAGGTCACATGCATTACACAAAAATCTGTTTGATTTTGCAATCAATTTAATGGTAAAGTCACCATCAGTGCTGCACCAGACACATCTTTTCTCTAATCTCCTGCTGAGGCTTTTCAAATGCCCTTCTCCTCATGCTCCCAAATGCTAGATGTGATAACCTAATTGCTTTCTGTTCTGCTGTTAAATCTGTGGGATGGTCAATTTTAGCTGAGGGTACAATGGAGTGGTTTCCTAAGTTTTTATTACACAGTTGTTTGAATGCAGTTACTGAAGATTTGCACTTCATCTTCCAACACACAAATTAATCATTTGATGTGGCAGGACAGGGCAGACTGCTGATTAGTCATCAAACCAGTAGAGCAAATACATTGTTTCCTAGAAGCTTTTTTCGAACAGTGCTGATTCTGTACTTGTCAGAAGGAAGCTGGAAGCAAACTTTAAACTATAATAAACAGGCCTGAGTAAATAAGAGCCTTCATGCAGAATGGGTTTTACCTTCTTGTGCACAAACCTCTGAGATAGTTAAACAACTGGTGTAGCTTACTCAAATCAAAGTCCTGATGCTAAAAAGTTCCTGACCACAGGAAAACCCCCTCCTGAGACATGGAACACATTCTGTCAGGTCTTGATAAAGCACTGTAGATTTTGTGACTATATTGAAAGACAGAAAAAGCAATATTAGCATTGTAGCAGCCTAGCACTGCACAGACACAGAGAGAACACTGTTCCACAAAGGTTTTGCAGCTGAAAAGAACAAGCCCAGAGAGCTGAAGGGATTTATTTACTCAGCCAAGGATGAACCCTGGCTCCTGGAGAGTCCTAGCTCCAAGTTTGTGCTGCCTCACTGTTCTCTCTCTGCCTTCTGGAAGTTGTTATTAAACTGTTCTCTTGAAATAAGGCAGCTAAGGCTTCTTAAGAAACTAGTTGAGATGAAGGGAATTTTGGGAACAAAAAGGGAAAATGTAGGTCTTACAGAAATAGGTGCTATGAGTTAACTTGAAATGAGAGGAAAACAAATTATGCAATATTTAATTTGTCCCCTGATTGTTTACTTCTATTTCCTGATCTTCTGCTAGCATCAGGTAAACATTTTAAGGCCAACAGGCCTATTTAAACACCAGTAAAAATCCTGGATTTACACATCTTTATACCTTTCTGTACTGATTCAGGAGGGAGCTAAGATTCATAATGCATGTTGCTCATGTTTCTTTAAAGGAATCACTGGGAGCCACATGTATCATGCTCTGTTTATATGGTTTTTATTCCAAACTATTGTCTACAAAGCTGGCATTGATTCTGTAAAACACTAAAAACAGGAAGAGAAAGATAAACACTGCTGTGTTGGCAAAAATTCAGTAAGGCTCTCCAGCAGCCTTCCCACAAGAGGGGTTGCTCCCACTTCACACTAATCAAGTACCTGCAGAACTGATGCAAACACTGCTACAAGCACCTATTGAGGTAGAAGGTAAAGGAACCATCAGTCTGTTCATTGACTGTTACAGCAATGACAAGGAACTTCCCAGGAAAAAAAACCACAGCCAGCATGTCTTCTGCCCAAGGAATTCATGTTCTAAGCTTTCTTCCTGCAAAGGGATCCAAGGGTGCAGAACCTGGCCACCATGGAAAACCTCAAGGGGGATGGATAATGACACTCTGTAAAGGTATCAGGTCCAAGCCTTGCAGATCAGATGGATGAGCAACCAGTAGAGGGCAGAACATGGAAGAGTCGAACCAAACCAAATTAAACAGGTTTTTACAACTAACGGGCTAGCTGTTGACTTCTGTGTGGAGACAAGAAAGTGATGTTTCAGCTTTTACATACTAATAGTTTAGGTGTTACCAACTGGAGGGAATGCCTTTCCCCTTGTCTTGTGTGGGTGGGGTATCTGGAACTGCTCTTGGAAGGTATATTTTAAAAATGTACCATAATGGTATTCAAGGTGCTGAGCCACCTTGTATGAGCTATAATATTATCTAGAAAGGTTGGACCAGATGATCCTTGAGGTCCCTTCCAACCTGGCATTCTATGATTCTATTACTCTATTAAAAAAACCCAACAGCTTCCTCTTGGGCATCATTGTTATTGGAATAAATAAAACCACATTAGATTAATCTAATGAATCTCTTTCTTTAAAAAAAAGTAAGTACACAGAAGAAATAGAGAGTAACTAGTGACCCCATCCTGACATCTAATTTTCTCCAGGTAGGGCACCTAGGTGAATTAAAAAAACCTATCTCTATGGACCAAACTGATTACAAGTTGAAATGCATAAAGCGAGAAGCTGTGAGCAAGAATCTGATCTAAAGCACCCCAAATAAATTATTCATTAAAAATGTAATTGCTTTTGTGAGTGCTTTTTGGAAACTGAACTACACCAGGAGGCTCTGCAGCTTCTCAAGTGTTAATGGATGCATTGCTAAGCACAAAATACTGGTCTTCTTTACACTAAGCAGTTTTTGAGCTGAAGAGAAAAAAATAAATCCTCAACTTATTTAAGTGGCAACAAATTATGAGACTGCAATGCATCTATTCTATGTAACTACCACAAAAAATGATGCACCTCTTTGTCTGTGATGCTTTGTACTTGCAGTGATTAGTGTGCATTTTCCAAAGGCACATACTATTCATCAGTGGAATTGCACAGCAGCCTCCTGCAAGTTTAGCTGGGGCTACTGGTGCACGTTTTCAGTTTCACACCATCCAAAAACTGAAATATTTATCTTTCCTGAAGGAAAACGTATGATACCAAATGGCTGCATAAATTTTAATGCTGAAATTCAATTCAAAGTGGGTTTTAGAGAGGCACAATTCCCAGGGAACTTTTTGAGCTTATTATCACAGGCAAAATATTTTATTTTTTTTTCCAAGTGGGACAGTCAATCACCCTCCCTGAGGACTAGCTTTATTTAATTATTTTCACAGAGAAAGACAATTCAGTAGAAGCAACATGAAAAGCACATCCCAAAATACAAATGTTTGCAGGGAAGTGGGAAACAAAAAGGAGGTATCAGAGACAGAGACATGTTAGACCTGTATGATCTGACAAGCAAGTGACTAGAGCATTAATCACTAAGTTGTTTTGGCAGGACTGCCACAGTGATTTCTTGTGAACCTTTTTTGGATTTTTTTCTGACATATTTTATTTTCATGCACCTTTTAAGATACCTCATTACACCTGAAATACCCAAAGTGGTCTCAGGCTGCACCTCTTAGTGAGAACTAAGTTCCGATTTGTTCATGTACAAAAATTCTGAAAAGTGAACTTGTTCCATAGGCTGTGTTGCTATTTCTGTTGACAGAAACCTTGAACAAATCCCCTTTGTCTGAGAACACAGTAAAGACAAGCCTAGAAGGACTCAAATTGTGGAATTTGAAGAGAAGGGCTCAGCACTCGTGCTCTCAGCTTCAAGAGACTGTCTTGTAAACTCAGCTCTAATCACACAACTGTCCCAGACTACAGACATCTTTCTTTGCAGGGTGTGGCTTTTATTCTTCACTCACTGCCATGAGCTCCATGCTTCTCAACTACACTTGGTGAAAATGGGTTCAATTAATGAATTTGCATCAGATTGACAGACGGCAGAATGACATCAGGATGCAACAAGTCCTTGAACACACCCCTGCTGGTGCTGCTCTAGTGTGGTCCCTGGCTTGTGCACCCCTCTCCTTGCAGGCAGCCGGAATACCAAGTGTTGACTGATTTTTTGCTAGGTCAGATGTGCATCCCTTGATGAAATAACATCCTGCTGCTACACCTCTAGTTTCCTGCTGGAGACACGTGTG